GAGAGGCAGTGACGAGCATTTCACACACCTGCCGTTTTGTCGTATGTGTAACTGCAGTTTGGTGTCAAAGAAAGAGCCTGTACAGTAGAGTTTTGTTGGCTCAAGAGGAAGACTGTAATTACTGTCTGACGATTCATCTAGTCACTGCATAAAATAGTGTTTATCCAGTCGCCCGTGTTTCTGTCGTGGCTGAGGGAGGGGAGGGTCATGTTTTGCAAAACTGAGACAGCTAGGGCAATCAGGAGAAGAATCGTGACTCCCAAACATCCAGCCTTTCTTTCTCTTTGTCTCTCTCTCTCTCTCTCTCTCTCTCTCTCTCTCTCTCTCTCTCTCTCTCTCGAGTTGAGAACTGCTGCCATAGAAAATGAGATCTCTCTTTACCCCCCCTCTGTCACACCCACACAAATAAACATAAAAAGCTAATTTGTTAGCGCCCTCATTTCAGAGGTCTGAGCAGCAGAATATTGTTGGGGGGAAAAGTAATGCTTTGTCAAATGTTGACATGTGTTGCAAACATGGGGCCTTCTGCACCAGCAGCAGCCGCGCTCCGTACAGCGGCTCAGGCACATTGTCGGCACATGAAGAGAGGATGCTTTGAAACAAGATTAGCCTCCAAATGGCCTTGCCTGCCCCCCCTCCCATCCATACCCCCTGTGCATAATGTGTGTGCGCCTGCACTAAGATGCTAAATGATCAGATCCAATGAAATATTTCTGGGTCTGTTTTCTCGCAGAATGAGTGTGGGTGTCAGTGGGTGTATATCATGTACAGCTGAAGGTGTGTACACATTTGTCCCTCCGCGGCCCGTTGTCTGGCACACAGCTCGGGCCGGTTTGGCGGGCCAGAAAGCACACGTCCCTGTCACTGAGGCTACCTCCCCTTGGCTTTGGGTCAGGGTGACACTGGGCAGGGGGAGGAAAAAAATCCATCACCCCCACACCCTGCCCCCACAAAAATGAATCAAAATTGGAAAACAACATGCAAGGTCTGCCTAATACAGGAACACTTGCAATATGCTGATGTTTTCTTTTGCACACTGTGTTTGCTAAATTGCCTTTGACTGCGTGCATCAGTAATGAAACTTTATGTCCTTGTGGAGAGGGCAGCAAGTCCGTTCCAGTTAGGACCGGGACGATCTCTCCTGTCTGGCTTTTGTAAGACTTTTTTTCCTAATACACGTCCTTATGAATAAATGAAGCCCATGAAGTCATTTTTTCCATATTTGTGTAAATTGCTTTAAAAGCATTTTATCATGTCATAAAAAAGCGCAATTGATCTGCTGGGCTTAGCCCATTGGACAGCTGTGTGTTTTGTTAATGGCCACTTTGCTCCAAGCAGCTTATTAAAACATTTATATATAAATGCTAAAATTGCATAAATTATTTAGATACAGTAAGCATTTTTTTGTTTCGGTCAGGCAGGGAGGGGCTGTTTTCATTATGGAAATTTACCATATTATATTATCTGCTGAAATATAGTAATATATCTGCCCAGACACATATGTGTCCTCCTCACTGCTCCCCCATACATGCAGAGGCGCAGGGGAAAAAAAGTATATATTTTTTGATGACTTCGTTTCAGCAACCACGGAATGTCACCCATATCCTGGTTGATTGTACTTTCGAGTTTTATGATGTTTTTCCATTGATTTGTTTCCCCGGCGCAGCTGCCGACCTCTATTGAGGGACGAACGTAATCAGCGCTGACGCAAATTAGATGGTTATTCGTTTCGAAAATTGACAGAAAAACAATAAAAAAGATGAAATGCTCCCAAATCAATAGATATAATGAAATTCAAATAATCCGAGAGATGAGGTCTCCATGGCAACTGATAATGTGGAAAAGAAAACAATTTAATAAAGGACAGACACGCTTTGAAAACAGATTGGGGAGGGGGGCGGCTGTAAAGCGGGGAGAGCAGAGCAGAGCAGAGGAGGTGGAGAGATGGAGGGATAGAGAGAGGGAGGGAGGTGGAGGGGTGTTTGTGGCTGTAGTGGTTGCTCTATAGCTTGTTTCCCCCCGGCGTGTGAAGGATCTGTGTCTGTCCCAAGGACACCGGAATAATTAGAAAAGCTTTCAGGCCAGAAAGTGCAGATTCAGGTTTTAATACACAAAATTATTTCAGGGGCAGTGAATCGGAAAACCATTTGTTGGTGACCTTCCTGAGAGGCCTTCCCCCTCCCCGGTACTGGGCAAGATGGAGGCTATGTGGCAGCACGGCCTGAGTTATGGCATATTTGTGTTTTTATAGAGGCAGGGGGAATGGAGTTGGGGAAGTCGGGAGGGGGGTGTGGGGGGTAAATGTGTGTGTACTGTTGTGTGCGGGTCTGGAAGAGTTTAGGGAGAGGGAGGGAGAGCACAGAGGAGAAGGGAGAAAGTGAAGCAGCGAGAGAAAGGGGGAAGTTGCAGATCCGGCTGTATTTACAGATCAGTTGTCAAAAGAAGCCATTTAAGGGGAATGCTCCCGTTCCTGCGCTGCGACAGGCGAGGTGCCTGTTTAAAAAGCAAAAGACAACTATGAACCTGTGAGGGAGATAGTCAAACACAGGCTTTTTCAGTTGAAGACAGACAGAGCAGGGGGTGGCGAGGGGAGCGAGTGGGTGTTAAGTGACTTCATTTGTAGTCTATTTAAGGTATGTTTTACTTGTCCTTGTGCTGCGGCTTCAACATCTAACACAGAGGCTGCGTTCTAGTTAGCGCAGCAAGGGAATAATGATCGAGTGCATCGTTCTTATTTCCTGTAAATACAAATGACTTTCCTTCATCTGCCTAAAAACCTTTATTTGATTTCAGTCTTGCTGTCAAGGGAGATTTGCTACTGATGCAAACAGTGATACGAGTCAACCAAAAGCATGGCTCCGTTTCCCTCATTAGCTTATCACAACTTTAGGTATGTACACTTTCTAGTGGCTTTATTCAACATCCGTGTCCTGCTCTATTAACATCCTATTTTCTTTATTACTCTTTGTCAACGTTTTAAAGGCAGTCTGGTTGGGCGTGTCAAGTAGTGACTACCATTTTTGTGTCATTAGAAGGCTTTGTTTGACTCAAATAAAGGTGATCCACCCTCTGTTCAAATGATACAAGCAGCAGGTCCAGGATATCACGTCTTTAGTGCAGATACCCTTATCCTGTTCCATGCAGCAATAAATGGAAAAACAAGTCCTTACATAAAACTTGCCCTGATAATTACACTTCTTTTATTTTAATAGCACAGGATCCTGATCAGGATCTCTTCTTTCATGCAATATAAACTGCCATAAAAGTTGAGCAATATTTGATAAAAAATGTGGGATCAAGTTCCACATAGTGTTAATCTTTGCCAGAATGAATTTGTTACTTAATACATAATTAGGTGTACAGAGTGAACTCTTTATTGTGCCCTCTTACTTTAAAAATGTATTTCCTTTTCTAACTTGAATTGAAAGTATTTTCAACCATTCATCCATTTGTTAACACAATGTTTTTACACAGAAGATCATAACAGGCGAATAGAGCGTCTGATAGATCTTTCCTTTCTTTACCCAGGGGAATCTGCCTTTTTTTAAAAGCAAACAGAGATCTGACATTCTTCAGCAGGACAGCTAATATTCTCCGGTATTGATATTGCAATGTGAAAACTGCCCCACAAGTAGGAGAGAAACTAGAAATTCCCCACTGTACACTAGCTAAGAGCCTTCAAATCTAACATGCCAGTGTCAATGAAGACCATTTCTTTTTTTAAATAAAGAAATAACAAAACAGATAGAATGGAGACTTGAAATATGAGAGCTGATAGGCATCCGGTGTGTGTGTGTATGTGTATGAATATGTGTATTTGTGGGCATGCACATGCAGACTGACACACACATAGGACACAAAGCACATGTTATCACTGTCAACAGCAGCAGTAGCAAACAGCAGCAGTTGTACTGTGTGTGTGTGCCCATGTTGTGTATGAGTCAAAGTGTGCATGCCCACAATCTCTTTCCCTCTCCGAGAGGTGTGTGTGTGTGTGTGTGTGTGTGTGTGTGTGTGTGTGTGTGTGTGTGTGTGTGTGTGTGTGTGTGTGTGTGTGTGTGTGTGTGTGTGTGTGTGTGTGTGAGAGTGTGAGAGAGAGAGAGAGAGAGAGAGAGAGAGAGAGAGAGAGAGAGAGAGTGTGTGTGTGACTACTGTACTACACTCAGGGGCCAGGAGCCAGGGCCGAGCCTAGCCGAACAGGGCTGGAAAGGGCCGAGGGCCAGCTCCCTGTGCACACCACCCACACCTGTCTCTCTCTCACACACACACACACACACACACACACACACACACACACACACACACACACACACACACACACACACACACACACAGCGCTCATACAGCCGTGCTGCTCGGCACAGGGCTCTCATTGTAGCAGTGACAGGAGGGCGCCCGTTAAGTGGCTCTCTCATCCTGGGGTGTGTGTGTGTGTGTGTGTGTGTGTGAGAGAGTGTGAGAGAGAGAGAGAGAGAGAGAGAGAGAGAGAGAGAGAGAGAGAGAGAGAGAGAGAGAGAGTAGTAGTAGTACGTAGTAGTACGTAGTAGTAGTAGTAGTACGTAGTAGTAGTNTGTGTGTGTGTGTGTGTTTGTGTGTGTGTGTGTGTGTGTGTGTGTGTGTGAGAGAGTGTGAGAGAGTGTGAGAGAGAGAGAGAGAGAGAGAGAGAGAGAGAAAAAAAAAAAGAGTGTGTGTTTTGTTCCCCCATGTGGCTGTGGGGTGGAGAAGGGCGATGAAGGACCCCTACTGGTAAAGTGGGTAAACTTGCACAGCCTCGACATCTGTGCTCGGAGAAGGAGGGGGGGTGAAGAGAGAGGGGGAGGGTAAGGAGGGGAGGAGAGATAGACAGACAGCGAGAGAGGAGGACAGAGTGGGAAAAAGGAAAGGAGTGAGAATGAGAGAGGGAGGGAGAGAGAGACAGAAGGAGAGGGCGAGAGAGAGAGAGAGCAGAGGCTTGGCAGAGAGCAGTTGAGAGAAAATGCCTTGCTTTGTGGAGAGAATTCTTCCAGGGCAGGAGGGAGAGGTGAGACAGAGCGCAGAGGGCGGTCTGCTGCCAGGTAAGTCTCACACACACCTTCCTCTCGCTCTCTCTCTTTCTCCCTCTCTCCCCCCTCACACACACTGGAGTTAAGTGCTACCTCGAGGTGAACGGGTCTGCTACTAGTTGCAGTTGGCACGAGTCAGGCACGCATGTGTAGTGATGTGGTGGGTGGTGTCAAAGTGTGTGAGGGAGAGAGAGAGAGAGAGAGAGAGAGAGAGAGAGAATGAGAGAGAGAGAGAGAATGAGAGCAGGTGTAATCTTCGTCTTTTTGGAAAGAAACAGCAGTTTTAATTACAGATGCACATTTGCGCCTATAGTGCGGTGGATGTCAGTGATGTGTTTAATTAATTGTAATGCTGTGTTGCTTCCTCAAAAGTTTTGTTGTTGACTTTTTATACCATTCACACTTCTGCTTTTGTATTGATAATTCAGTTACATTTATGACATTTAAAGTTGGAAAGCACATCTATTTAAATGTATACTGTACTGTGCAGTTTTAGGGTTTACTTTGGTTTCTATTTTATTCTACTTTATACTTTTACTCAAGATAATTCCAGAGTGAGATATTGTGGTTTATGGATTGATTGTATATCTATTTGACATTTGCAGTAAGACGTTACTTAACAGATACATATTTTTAAATAAAGTATATGATCTGCTTTTGAAATATGATTCGTTTTTATAGATTAACAATGCTCCCCCTTGAGCAGCTTATCCAAGATGTTGCATGGTTTAAGGTATTACATAATCATTTATTATTAATATAAATATTTAAATATAAAAGTTTAAACGTTTACTTTTGATTACTTTTACTTTGTTGTTTTAAAATATCCTTTTTTTTCCTTTTGAGTATAGGAATTTTAAATTGTAATTTAGTGTTATTTAAATTGTGGTTTTGCTTTTTAATTTAGGTGAGGGATCCAAACACGTTATCAACTATAAATGACACATTATAAATCATTTGTACTTATTTTAAAGCAATTTCAGGCGGTTTTGTTCAAAGTTTACATTAACACACTTTATTTTAAACATTTCTAAGACTAAAAATAGAAATGATTAGAAAGCACCTAAAGTCCCTTCGTTCTAATGCTATATGCAGATGGTTTGGGTTATGAGATGAGTTAATTTGCGGTGTTGGTTTAAATTGATTCGGCTGTTTAGTTACAGATGTGATGGAGTGGTTTGTCATCGGAGGGATTTTCCACTCTGCTGATATAAACTGTGTCTGATGAAGAGAGTCCTTTTCTCCCTTGTGGAAACACAGTTCTGAGAGGAATAATCCTCCTTGTGTACAATTAGATTTTCTCCTTTTGGTTAAATAAATACTGTGTCTGTGAACATAAACACAGATTGACATGCAGCCTGTGGGTGTGTGCCTCTCAGACAGCCTGCTGCCCCAGCCTGGGCCGGACAATACCTGTCCAGGCCCACAGAAACAGAAAAAAAGGCAGAAGTTGGCTGGCTCTAACTTCACGCTTGCTGTTTGTTTGTTTTTTTAACAAATGGAACCGGCTTCCCGAGTGAAAGGTGAAGTCAGAATTGAATTTGTCTTGCGTTACCGTGGCGATCTGGCAACCACTCCCGTGTCCCAGAAGACTGCTCTGGTTGCTGTGTGCCAGGCGCGTGTGTTTGTTATTTAACGTGTGTGTGTGTGTGTGTGTGTGTGTGTGTGTGTGTGTGTGTGTGTGTGTGTGTGTGTGTGTGTGTGTGTGTGTGTGTGTGTGTGTGTGTGTGTGTGTGTGTGTGTGTGTGTGTGTGTGTGTGTGTGTGTGCGTGCGTGCGTGCGTGCGTGCGTGCGTGCGTGCGTGCGTGCGTGCGTGCGTGCGTGCGTGCGTGCGTGCGTGCGTTGGAGTAGTGGGTGGTGGTAGCAGCATTCACAAGAGAGACATTTTACTAAGCAGACATTTCCCCCTCTGTTTTCACTCTGACCTGGTAGGAGATTGATGACTGAATTGTGGAGTACATGTTAACAGTAACTGGTGATTTATGAAGATACTTAGGGTAAGTGAGGCCGCACACGGCTGGAGGGGAAGAAAAATATATAGCCTTTTAAGTTAATGCAAAAATATAGCCTTTTTAAGTAATAATTGTTATTACCACTGCTGGGTTTGGAGAGAGGTCTGAGTTAGGGTAAGATGTGCACAAAGTGTAATGTGAACCTTTTCCATTGGCCATGGGCCTTTCTTTGTTTTTGGCCTTTTAAGTTTGACTTCCTTCAAAATCGTAAAATGAGAAAGAAGTTTAAAGAAAAATGATATAGATTTAGATATATATTGAGATTTGATTCACCAAATTTGAATATTTGTACTGATGTACGACTTTTTCCTGGGTAAACCACAGTGGAAAAACTTTTCTTGGATGAACCCTTGCACTGCAACAAGTGCAATGTGTGTTTTGGCAGCACTCCTTAGCCAAAGATCCCTTAGAAAATCTGCATGCAATTTTAGAAGAATCAGATTCTTTCCCTTTCCGTGGCTCGTAAACTCCCTTGATATTATGTACACGGAGAATCCTCCTCTCTATTCAAATATGAGATTCAATCCACTTGGATGTGATCTATAGCATTTTTAAGGAATAAAGCAATTTTAGGGAATACGGAATACTGCTTTCCCTGGAAGAGGGATGGCTTTCATTTTTTTTCAAGGCACCTCTTAGACTGAGTGAAATGTTTCCCCTGTTCGCTCAGGGACGACTTTATTTCTTACCAGGGATTTAACACTCACTCAGTCCCCTCATAAATACAGCGTCCCTCAGCCCTTCGCTACCCATAACTCATGCACTAACTCTCTAGCTAACTAAACTCATATAGCAGAGCCAACACTTGTTTGTCTTTTACCCCAGCCTCTCTCTCTCACTCTTGCTCTGTCTCTTTTCCTCCTCTTAGCTGATTTATACATGATAGAATCTTCTTTGACTACCGTCTCACCACGCTCCTGCGCTGATCTCCTTGGCCCACTCGTGGAGTGGGTTTTAGAAGAAATGTGCATTTGAATATGAGCCAGCTTAATCTCCTTGAGGCTATTTGGAGTGAGGCTAATGCTCCAAGAATGAGCGAGAACAACACTAGGGAAAATGCGGACGTCCCTCTCGGCGTGTCACAACACAACTTAGTTCTCAAAAAAGAATTTGATTTGTTGATGAAAATCTTTCTATAAGGCAAAGGACGTACAATTCTGGCTTTCAAGGCACCTGTTGATCTACTAGTCTCCCTAAAATGTTTGTGTGCTTTTAGTTTGGTCTCTTTTTGCCTTTATGGCACCTATCTGTGGAATTTATTGACTTTTTTGCATGTTATCTCAATGGTACTAACAAAAAAGCAGCTGATCAACGTTTATGCCGTCTCACTTTGAGCAGATGAAAGTGCTCAGGTGGGATATTCCAGTATGTTGGAAGCCTTTTACTGATCTGCTGCCGATTGGCATTTTGGGAGGAGACAGTTTTTCTGGCGTGGTTCCCGTATTGGTTGTTAACAGCCTGCTGGTACCTTCTGTTCTCTCAGTTCCTCAAGCATCTGAAGACCCTCTGAAGTCAAAATCGCCCATTTTGATGTCTCACGGCAGCACCCGACGTTTTGTTGTATTTGCGTCTGAAAACACAGGCCCTGCTTGGAGGAATTACCCTCAGCACTCGTTGGTGTCAGATGGGGGCGGGGGTATCATTCCCTTTTTCCCCCCCCACTCCCAGCTCTCCTTGCTGTCCTTCTTTTCTTTTTGATCTCACAATCAAATTTTCCCTGGTTTATATGAGTGACGTTTACCCGAGAGCGGCTAGGGAAATGGCTGGCTGAAGAAGACGTTTGAGACAATGCGCCTGAGCAAGCTATCACCTTTGATAAAGCCATAGTTCCATTGGGAGTAGAAGAAGAAAGACAAAGAATAAGAGCAATGTTGGTAATGAAAAATGCCATGCAAGAGGGAGCATCTCTCTGATCCTAGCCTGTTAAGTCAACAATGTATAGTACAACACATACTGCAGCGTACATCAAGCATTCCTCTGTTGTTGTACCACAACCCAGTGGACTGATCTGAATCTGGGGTAACACACTGTTCCTTTATTATATATCAGCTGGGTACCAAATAATCTTATAACACAGCGTTAACACATGCACAGTGGGTCACACTGGTGCTGCCATCAACAATGGCATACCTTCAGCTGTGTCATCATTGGCAAAAAAGGCTGGCAAGTCACTTGAAAGCGCGGCAAAAGGAGAAAGAAATAATTGGGAAGTGGAGGGTAGTTGGAGGTACAGAGAGCGAGAAATGTTAGCTTTAGTAATTACTACCTCCATAGTGAAGCAGTGGAGAGGACAGTGAGGCAAGCGAGAGCACGAAGGAGGCCCTGTGTGCAGATAATGAAGGGGTATCATTGTAGCTCTGACAGCGTTAATCTTAGAGCGCTCCACACTGTGTGTCTCTATCAGGATGCGTGTATGCTCTGTGCTGCATATGTATATTTCGCTAGGTTGTATGGAGGTCGTGGTGCAATGCCATTGACTCTCAACCAAACCAAGAAGAACGGCCCAACTAACGGCACAGTTTATCCAACCTTGTTGACAGTTGACGCCTCTCACAGCTTCTTGAAGACAATCCTTAAACTCGGCAGCCTCCCGCTCGTCCCCCGGAAACACTGGGATCGCCTATCAGCTATCAAAATTGCCTTCTTTGCCATAGAGGGCGGAGGATAAGAGAAGCGTGGAAAAAAGGCGAAGAGCAGTCCAACTTTCTTTGTGCCTGGCTGTTTTCTTTTCTTTTTTCCTCTTCCCATTTGAAGTTGTGAGACACTCATTTAAGCCTCATTGCACACCAACACTCAACACACAGGAAAGTGTTATGAATATGTATCAACACAGCATATGGCAGCAGTAGCGCTGGGACTAGGTGTGTCCAGAAGGGTAGAGTGCTGCCGATGCATTATTCTCCATTCAAATTACCACAGTAAGAATGCAGAAGGGAGCCGAGAGGTGTTTACCGCTTCTTTAGACGGGGCAGGAGAAGAACCTGGATCGTGCAAAACAGC